TTATTATTATTATTATTATTGTTGTTGTTGTTGTTGTTGTTGTTAAGTAAGCTCTTGATTGTTTTATGCAAATATAAAATATTTCATGCATGTTAGTATTTCTAATAGAGATTTGGTGGTATGGTGGTCACTATAAATTCAAAGTTTTGATATGATAATGGAAATGAATTGGTTGGTAAAACATTTCACATTGTTTAAATCTTGAAAAAGGAGAGTGAAGTTTACTTTGTCTTATGAAAAGCTAATTTGTTTATCTTATGATAGGAATCTACTGTATTATTTGATTGATGTTGTGAAAGTTATAACATGTTTGAAAAGTGGTGAGCTGGTGTTTTTAGCAAAATGAAAAGTATTAAATCAGGATGTGCGGGAATTAAATAATATTTTTTCTTAAGAATTGTTATGGGTACCACAAGTAGGAGAATTTGTTTTTAGTATTACCGCTGAGAACATTCATGTTTTTCAAATCTTCTTATAGAATAACTCCAAAGAGAGAAATTAAAATGTCAATTACAAAAATTAATACACACAGATTTTATTGACCAAGTAACTCGTATTTAAGAGATCATGTATTATTTGTCAAAAAGAAGAATGACAATATGTGATTATGCATTGATTGTATAGAGTCGGACAAAGTAATAATTATAAAAAAATATCCATTATTATGAATAAATGATTTATACGATTGGTTAGGGGGCACTACTAAGTTTTTAATGATTAATCTAAAAACATAAAAAAATCAGTTCAAATTTAAGGAGACTGATATAACCAAGATAATTTTTGGGACTATGTATGATTATTATGAATTTTAGTTATATCTTTTGTTTTAACAAATGTCATTGTTGTACTCATGGCTCAAATAAATAAGATATTTAAAAGTCTTATGTGAACCAACTTTTTATTATATTTACTGATAATATTATGATATTCAAAAAGTAATGTTGATCATCTTGAACACTTAAGGGTAGTCTTGAAGTTTTTTATTCAAAATCAATTATTTACAAAATTTTTAAAATTTGAATTTTGTGTTTACCATGAGGCTGAAAGTGATCATGAAATTTTTTAGCACCTAAGAGTATTACACAAGTGCGTAGTTTTCCTAGTTTGGGTGGTTATCATAGAAGTTTCATTAAAGGGTTATTATAAATAGTCATGTCATTGTACAAGCTTATGAGAAAAAGATATTAAGTTTGAGTGAACTGAAGAATGTGAGCATAATTTTCAATGATTTAAAAAGAATTTGATTGTTGTTCCAATATTATTTATCCCATCAGGAATAGAGAGATTCTAAATTTATAAAGATGCATCAATGACAGGGTTGGGATAAATTTTAATGCAAAATAAAAGAGTAACAATATATGCATCCAGACAATTAAAGTCACATGATAGAAATTATTTGACACGCGACATGGGATCAGTTGATATAATATTTACTTTCAAGATATGTAAATTACCTATATGACGTGAAGTATGAGGTATTCACCGATAATCAAGGTCTGAAATATATTCACATAAAAAGAACTAAATTTGAGGTAGAAAAAATGACTAGAGCTTACCAAAGACTATGATCTAGATGTATAATATTGTCTTAGCCGAATAAATGTAGTTATTGATGTTTTGAATCGTAAAAATATAAGTAGTGTAGGTTGGATCATTATAGAGGAGCTACAATTGATAAAAGAAATTGATATATTGTAATTGGAGGTTAGAAGACAATGAGAAATTAGGCATTTACATCGCTTAACCATCCAACAAATTTTAATAAATAGAATTAAGAAAGGTAGAAGGTTGGCAACAAATATAAGAGATTTATTGAGCAAATTTAGTCAGAAAAAATATAAAATGAGGTTGTAGATGAATAAGATGTAATTAGAAACAAGCTGCAATTTTGGATGTTTGTTAGTTCTGATTTGAGAAAGAAAAATTTACATAAAGCTCATGATTCAATGTGTACAATTCATTCAGGCAACACATACTATGCAAAGATTTGAATTTGATGTTCCAGTTAACAGGTATGAAGAAAGTTGTAACATGGTATATTTCCAAGTGTAAAGCTTGTCAAACTTTCAAGGATGAGCATTAGAAACCTAATGGATTATTACAATCATTGTCTATAGTTCGGCGAAAATTGAATGAAGTTATGATAAACTTGGTTATGGGATTTCCCAGATCCAGGTAAGAGCACAACAATATTTTGATAATTATAGATATGTTGACAAAATCAGCTAACTTCTCACCAATAAAGCAGACATGATCAGTAAAAAAATTGGTCAAACTGTGTCAAGAAAATAATTAGGTTGCATTGATGTCCCCAATTTTATAATTTATAATAAAAAATGAAGATTCACATCCACGTTATGGAAAGACATTCAAATAAGCTTGGGTAAACACCCGCACCTTAGTATAACATTTCACTCATAAACAGATAGACAATTAAAAACTATAACTCAGATACTAAAAGATTTATTGAGCATTGTGTCCAACTTTGGAGATTGTTGAGACGATCATATTTCAGTGATTGCGGACTACGATAATAAATGGACTCAAAACTATTTTTATAAAATAGTACATAATAAACATGATATTACGGAGCACAAGTTTTTTTCCTCCACACGTTTCGTTTCCCCTCTCAATGCTAAAACACACTACTCAATTCACATGAATTTCCCATCAAACACCCAAAGCAAAAAAAAATACAATAGGGAAATTTACATGCATTCCACAAAATTCTTTTATATTTACATATCCAACACCAAAAGTTTAATATTACACTTCTAAGGTTTTGGTGTCACAAGCCTATGCATGAAAAGTTGTAGCACTTTCAACAAATAGTGTTTAGTGACATTTTTGACGCAACATTAAAGATTTAAGTGATATGCATGTAAATATAAATGTTTAGGTATTAGATAGGTAAAAAGATAAAAAATTTAGTTGCGCGCATGTAAATATGTAGAGACATCGGAATTGAGCGGTTGGTATGTAAACAAGGTAAAATTATTGCGTATAAAAACTCCTCATTTACCAAAAAAATGTATGTCAGTGGACCCACTTTTAATTTTTTTTTTTTTATATAATTTCATTGGACGGCGCACAAGAGATGCGTCTGGCGTGCGCTCCGTCTGCACGCAATAATCCCTCGTAAACACGGCTACAAAAAATTTAGGGGATTTTTCACTAACATTAATTTTTCCATCACTATCATATTTTTATTTGACAATAATTATTTTATTCGATTTTATAATTTTAAAATGAATAAATTTTCGCAACAAAACATGAGTTACATATATACCCACAACTTAAAGTATTTTAATTTTGAGCATTTACATGCCACCCAATTCGTGTATTTACATATATAACACCTAAATATAAAACATCACTTTTTTAACTTTAAAAAAAAAATGAAATACACATTTTCATATATAAATAAGACATTCATATAAAAATTGAGAGGGCCATTTCCACACATACCCTACAATTCTTATTTATTTATACATCTAACACACTTTAATATTTACATGTCGTACGACATGTAAATCTTTAATTTCACATTAGAAATATCACTATCACCTATTTTTAGAAGCGAAGTAAGTTGTTTCGGTCTTCGACTTATTGCACCAATGTGCTAGATGCGTGCATAAGAATTTCCATATGCATGTAAACTCAAATTTAGATTTTGATGTTAGATATGTAAATAGAAAAGAATTAAGTGGTATGCATGTAAACCTTCCTTCTATATTTTATTATAATTATAATTATTTTAATAAACAACTTAAGTTGTTCAGCACACAGACATCTAACATCCTACTTAAAGTAAATATACAATGTTTTAATCAGCAATAAAGCCTTTATAACCCTAAAAAGTCCAGTAGAAAATACGAAATAAGATTTACATAATACCACTCATTTCTTATGTATTTACATATCTAACACCTAAACCTTGAGGGTCAGGGACATAGCCGTTATAACCCTAACAAGTCCAGTGCTAAAAATAGAAGATTTACATGCATACTAACAATTCTTATGTATTTACATATCAACCACCTAAACTTTATTTTTACATGTATGTCACATTATCTATGCAGGACGAAGTGTATTTCATGTTTTATTTGTTAAAATAGTAGCATTTTTTATGTAATATGAAAGATTTGTGTGATATAAATGTAAAACAGAAAAATTTTGGTGTTAAATATGTAAATGCACAAGAACTGGGTGTTATGCATGCAAATGCCCCAAATAAGAAAGAAAATGCTTCTCTTTCTATAATATTTGATCAATCTGTGCCATTTCATCAAATAATCCAATCCTACAGTACTATCACATTTAGTCATCACACAGGAACAAACAAAAAAAAGAAAAAATGGGCATTTACATACGTACCACCTAATTAATATGTATATTTACATATCCAACACCTAAACTTTACTTTTTTAACATTTATATCAACCGAATCTTACACATCACATAAAAAACACCACCATTCTAACTTTTAAAAGTGATATACAATGTAAAATTTGATATTGAGGTGTTAGATATGTAAATACATAAGAATTGCGTGGTATGTATGTAAATCTTCAGAAGAAAAAACATTACTGCAAAGCCAAAAACTAACACTTACTCCAAATCAAGCAACAAACATATGGTTTGAACATTCCTCCAAAAATTTCCTTTGTGGGAGAAGCTGGATGTTCTGTTCCGGGTATGGATAAGAAGAAAGGGGCAATTACATAGAGACCACCCAAAACTTGCTATTTACAAATCAACCAACCTGGTTCATCCATTTTTCAAATTCTCCCTCAAATATCAAAATTCATGATAGAACCCCAACCCAGATTTTTTCATTTTTATCAAATTCTCAATCGTTTGATCACGTGAGTGCTTAATTTGTAAATATCAATGTTTCGAGAGGTCTGTATGTAATTATCAGAAGAAAAAAAATGCAGGGGAAATGGTTCTCTTTCTACAATATTTGATCATTCTGGTCACATTTCATCAAATAATCTTTAATCCTACAGCACTATCACATCAGTCATTACAGAGAATCTAACCAAAAAAGGAAAAAAAAAAACATTACAGGAAAGAGCCAAAAAACTAAATCTTACTCCAAATCAATCGACATATGGTTTTGAATTTCTTCCAAAAATTTCCTTTTGGGGAGAAGTTGGATGTTCTGACTGACCATTTCGAGCCAAAACAATCCTCTTCGAATGCCGCCGCAGCCGCAGCCGCAGCCGCAGCCGCCGCCTCTGTTGCCCATAAAGTACCTCGTAAATAAGCCTTTTAGCTCCCCATCTCCACCATATTGGCCCAACCAAGAATCTCCTCCTCTTCCTATATTTCACTGGAATTAACAAAGAAAAAACTTAATTATTTGAAATGTTTTTAAAAATAAAAAGAGGCATTTAAACATTCCACACAATTCTTATGTAGTTGCATATCTAATACCCCAACTTTAATCTTTACATGCATGACCACTCAAATCTTTAAAATTGCATAAAAATATCACCATCAATTATTATTTTTTTAAGTGAAATACCACATTTCATGCATGGATTTATAAAATCAAAGTGTTCTAAATGTAAATATGAAAGTTTAGGAGTCATATATGTAAATTTCCCGAACAAGAAACAAAAATGCTCTCAAACATGCCTTTAACTTCTATCTAATTTAGAGATTCTATTATTGTATGTCAAATATTTACAAGATACAACAGAAAAGAATGAACATGAGGCCAAAAAAAAAAAAACAAAAAAGCGGAAACATGGACATTCCATAAATAATTTACGCTATTGCTTCTTAGGCAATGTTTTAAGAGAATGGCAGTACCAAAATCATAAAAGAGTTCTGACGAAAGAAACAACAAATTTAGGCTGTTTAGCTGCTTTTAGTCTAGTATTTTAAGGGCCAAGTTACATACCACACAATTCTTATATATTTACATATCTAACACCTAAACTTTCATATTTACATACATATCACTTAAAAATACCACCATTACTACCTTTTAATAGTGAAATACACCTTTCCAAGCATAAGTTTTAGCAAGGAAGAGTAATTAATGGAAATATCAAACTTTAAGTGTTAGATATTCAAATAGAAAACAATTGTGTGGTATGTATGTAAAGTTCCCAATATTTCATTGTATTTATCATGAAGGTACCAATTAAGGTCATTCAGTTTGGTGTTTTATACTGATGCCATGCTTCTAATAAATAAGTAAAAAAATGAGAATCGAAAGAGAGTATATTGAAAATATAAAATTTGAGAATAGTAGTTGGAATATGATGCATAATTTTAGCGAGTAATCACATAGCATAATCCTCATCGAGCCTTAGTTACTACACTCACTGCTCAAGCAATAAAATTTATTTATTGGTGATGACTCTTGCAAATCATTCCACAATTACTCTAAAATTTCTACCAACCATATGGCTATTTTCAAAAACTTGCTCATGAAAAAAAAATTGTAAAATAACTTTTTTTTCCCAGCAGCGTATTTTAGGATTAATAAATAAGTAAAAATTTAGAAATGTTAAGAAAAAGAGGAACTTTACTTTCTTCAGGAAATCAAAGAGTGTCAAGTATATGATCTATTAAAGATACCAATTGGCTTTATCATCATCATCTTGGTCACCTTCTATTTGAAGTTTTAAAGGAGTTCATGTTAAAAAATATTTATTGCCATGATTTCGGATTTAGAAATTTCCCAATCTGGCATGGAAATGGGAACAAAAAAAGTGCGACTTTTCTAGCTTGCAATAAAAAGGTTATATTACTGTTTACTTAATTCATAATGACAAATGGGGACCTCTACCATTCCTAATGTAACAAACACAAGTGGTTTGCTTTTCCCAGCAACAATTACATAAAAATTTCCAATTTTACTGCTCATAATCAAGTTTGATATGAGCATGTTCCTTCCTACTTTTTATGATATAATCCAAGGCCAATTTGGGGTAATTTTTTAAGGTCTTAATTTGATAATCAAGTTATACCCCATACTTTTCAAAAGAAATAAACCATGAAACTTCCTAAAATAATTTTATTTAACAAAATGAGCCTAGAAAAGAAAAAAGATCAATTACTAGCAACAACTAGAGCCTTATTATACTAACTAATATTCCAAAATCATATTGAGGAGAGGTCATCCTTACAGCTACTCAAATCATAAATAAGCCGCCTTAAAATATTTTGTAGTTCAGAACACCAATTGATGTACTCCCTACTTTTACCCCAATTTCAATACCACAAACAATCCTGTACTCTGAATCTTTGGTTACATCACCTTCGTGAAAGTTCATAAAAATAATAAGGAAGATTTACAAATGTACCACTCAATTCCAATGTATTTACATATCTAACACCTAAACTTCAGTTTTTACATGAAAAGGTGTATTTCGCTTTTTAAAAGTTAAAATGGTGGGCTATTTGATGTGATATGAAAAATTTTAGTGGTATAAATATAAAAAGTAAAGTTTAGGCGTTAGATACTTAAATGCATAGGAATTGGGGAGTATACATGTAAATGCCCCAAATAATAAAAGAGAAAATTGACCTCTAAGAAATAGTCTATTTCTACCAATTACTCGTCAAGCAAATAAAAAAGTTCTGTAATCATCAGTCTACTAAACTTTCTTTTGCTTTTATGTGATTTCTAAAAATTTAAGACATTTCTTTGCTCAAAATCACCTTGACAAACCGAATGCCATTAAAAAAAGTGCATTTACGTACATAGCAAACAATTCTTATGTATTTACATATTTCAAACCAAACTTTCATATCTACACACGTAGCACTCAAATCATTAATGTCACATAAAAAATAGTATCATTACAATTTTTTAAAAGTCAAATAAAACTTTTCATGCACAGATTTAAAGCACCAAAGTGCTATGTATGAAAATATGAAAGTTTAGATGTAAGATATGTAAATACATAAAAATTGTGTGCAATATATGTAAATTTACCTCTAAAAAAACACAACAGATTGTACCAAACACTAATTTTATTATCTCTCACTGCATTAATTAAAAAGTTTACAATATCACATAATGAATCATGGTGAACCTATACACCAATTCAATTCTTAAAATATTATGTGAAGCATTATCTAATGAAGGATTAAGGAAAGCCATGAGTAGAAATGGAAACCTTAAAAAATAACCAAAAAACATAGAAGATCACAAAAGGAGAAATATTTGCGTATGGAATACGCACGCAACTCTGCGTGCCCACTCGATTAACCTGCAATACCTTCGTAATAACCTATGAATAACATCAAAATAGAACACGCGAAGGATATTGGAAGGTTACTAGATTTATATATTATTGAACTTAATAACCTTCCAATAACCTCCGAGCAAAGGTTATTGTGAGGCTATTACGCACACAGCTCTGCGTACGTCGTCAGTATGCAAATATTTCCCTCATAAAAGATGTGTCACAGGTCAAGGGAAAAAACTTAGTTATCTTATACATAAGAGGCTAGATATAACTTATGTTATGATTGTGGTAGGTTAATTTATGCATGAACTAAAGGAGGCTTATCTACAAGCTACCTACCAAATTCTTCAAAACTTAAAAGTTATTCTGGGAGGAAAAATTAATTTAAAAGAAACACAAAGTTGAAACGTGAAGCCGCACAAATGCAGACTATGTAGATTCTCTTGTAGACATGAGATCAAACTCCGGCTAGCTGCACCTTTTTTTGAAACCAAATCAGTCACATTTAAAAAAAAAAAAAAACCTCAAAACATAGTAGAAAATTTTAATTAAGAAGCTAGTCCATATCACTGGCACAAGAAATGATTGAGCTACTGCGGGCGAAAATTCTCACTAAAAATCTAAAGATCAGGTGTGATAAACCTATGAGACTATCGTGATAATAATTCAACATTAAAGTTCACATACAATACTAAGTAATATGTTAGAATGAATATTTTAATAAAAAAATATAGTGCATCATATAATGCATCATATAATGCATCATATAATGCCAATAAGAGATCAGCCGACATGTGTTTCCATAAAGAAAATCAACAATTAAATTATTGAATAGTTAGGAATGAAGTAAGGAAAATCAACAATTAAATTATTGACTAGTTGGGAACAAAGTATATCTATTCATTAGCTTATAAGAAAAGTTTAGAAGAAATGCATATGTGCCATATCTTATTATTGAAACCACATATTAATGCTAGTGAAAGAGATCAAAATTTTACATATTCAAGGCAAGAAAATCAAAATCCCATGGATTCATACAAGTGTAATCCAAAATCTATTTTAAAAATCTATATTTATTTGTATGGCTATACAATATTTTATTATTTCATAGTTAGATCAATATATATATATATTAACTTCTATCAAATACTATGCTGAATAAGAAGAATTAGTTCATAATATTGTGCTCTCCATAGCCTCATAACTTATTCAAATATGCAAAGAATAAGTTATACATCAGACTTAGGCCCAGTTTTGGGCAGCGGTTTTACCGCGGCGTGCCAGAAAACGCGACGCCTTACCCTTGGTTTTGACGGCACAATGAATTTTATGAAAAATCCAAACGAAATGCGGTAGCGGGTTCAACCCCGCGACCCGTGTTTGTTTGTATAGTGTTGACGCGATTGCCCCTCCTCTCCCGGGATCATTTCTCTCGCGTGTCTTGCCCTAGCTACCCCTCCTTTCTAGCGATCCTCTCTCTCGCGTCTTGCCCTAGCAGCTCTCTCCTCTCCCCCCTCCTCTCTCTCTCTCTCTCTCTCTCTCGATTCTCGTGGTTGGTGTTGTGCCTCTATCGGTGAGTTCTCTTCTCCCTCTTCTCTATCTCCTTTGCGGCTGTGTTTAGTTCTTTTCATTTGTCTGAGGTGTTGCTTCTTCGTGCGGTGCTCTGTGTGGTGGTTCAACTATACTATAATTTTTCTGTACGGCAGTTCCTCTTTGGGTTGGGTAACCCTAGCTAAATTATGCCTTTATCCTTGACTTTGGTTCCTCTTCGGATTTGGTACTATATTTTTTTCTATACGGTAGTTCCTCTATGCAGTGGTTCTTCTTCGTTATAGGCAATCTTTGTGCGGTGATTTCTTTACTCTAATTGTGTGCCTTTTGGTTTTGTGTCTTTGTGCCCACCTTGGGTTCCTCTGTGCAATGGTTCCTCTTGGTGTTGGTGTGGTTCTCTGTGCACTAGAATTTTGTGGTTTTTATTTGGCTAATCTTATGCTTCATTGCTTCTCGGTTGAAGTTGGATTTTGAGATTTTTGGGGATCCCACATGCAATGGCTTGGATTTTTTGGATTTTCGATTTGGCAAATGCTTATGCTTCATTGGTTCTCAGTTGAAGTTGGAT